GGATTACAGCTAAACTTCCTTTTTAATTTCATAGTATAGGGATGGCTCAAGCAAAAGAACAGCAGAAGGCCGATTTGTATAATTGAATATATGAGGTATGAATGGTGATAACCGCTTATTCTTAATACAGTCATCATAGGACGGACCTCAACCTTCCAAATATAATTTTTTAGCCAGCAGAACTCTGAAAAGTGATAGTTTAGAAACCTCAAATATATCCCATCATCATCAGTTTTTCACTCTGGTAAATGAGGGAATCACACCATCATAAAGAAGTTGATATTTAACACATCATTACATTAGAAGATCCTGATCTTTTTTGTTTATTTTACAAAAGAATGGTTATTTGTATTTGCAGATTAATGACCTACCGACAGCAATGCAAAATAATCTACATTTCATCACATAAGAAAAAGAACGATTTCAGCACTACAACTTGAAAACAAACCATTTGAGGGGTCATGTCTTGAGTTTTTGATTCTTAGTTCTTAGTTGTCTTAGTTCTGTTCTAGTGTTTCAGTCTCTTTGTCTTATCATTTCCTGTTATATTTTGAAATAGCGACTCTCCCCTTGTTTCAGGCCACTTGCTCTTCCTCTTGCCGTACCAAGTTGGAATCTCTATTGTCCCTCCTGAAAAACAAACCACAACAAAAAGTTCCTCCCCAACCCAGTGGGAAGCCATAAAAACCAAAAACACAAAATATTTCAATCCAGCCCAAAAATAAAATTTCAACACGTGGAAATAAGCAAGATAAGATACTGACTAGAGGTAACTACAATACAATAGTTTCTGAAGAAATAGTGACAAGAGGGATTAGAAGTCGTGAGCAGGAAGTGGTGCGTTTCTGGCTTTAGAGGAAATTGAAATTAAATCTAGCAAATATCTGCGAAATCCCATGTATTACATCAACTTGCCATCTACAATTGAACTAAGTGGATTTTGAAGCAACCTGGTGAACAAATTTAGTTAACATCCTTCTGGAACAACATCTTTTGTGGACTGCTAGAAGACAGGACCCGAGTAGGCCCGAGTATCCACCAGTTTTCTCCTGACTTTCCCAATATAGGGTAAGAAACAACATGCCTCCTAAACAATCAAAGGCATCTTCTATAGATTAAGAATCACCTGTGACCATGATACTGCTAACCCAGATGTTTGAGCAGCAAAGAGACTTCTATAAAGAGATGTTACAGCAGCAGCAGGATAACTTTAAATGTTTTGTGCAGGTGTTTGTTGACAGTACTAATAAAAGACTAGATGATGTTCAAGGGATTAAAATCAAGCCTGGAATTCACCTAAGATAAAGTTGACACAGAAATGACAAAGCAAAAGGAAGTGGACACAAAATTAAAGACACTCTAAATAGAAATACTGAAATCAAGGGAGGAGCTGGACAAGATGGGAACAAAGCTGGACTTTACTGAGAACCAGTCAAGGAGGAATAACCTTGCAGTTGACGGCATTGCTGAAGAAAGAGGTGAGAGCTGGGACTCAACTGAGAAGAAGATCCGAGACATGATTGAGAGTAAAATGGGACTGGATGGCCAAAACATGGAAATTGAACGTGCTCACAGAGTGGGTCAATATCAAGAAGGGGGGAAACCTGGGCAGATAATTGTCAGACTCCAGTTCTTCAAGGATAAACAGGCCATTTTGTCTTCTGCAAAGAAGCTGAAAGGCACAAATATGTACATAAATGAAACCTTTTCTGAGGCCGTGCTAAAGAGGAGAAAGGAACCTCTGCCTAAGCTGAAAGCTGCACGTGAAAGAGGAGACGACGCCATCCTAAGATTTGACAAAGTGATCATAAAGCCCAACACTGGAAGAGTTCAAATGCCAAGCTAAACGTATGTACAGATAATATCCAACTGTGAGTTAGACTACATGTTCAATGAGTCATTCAATTTAACTCTATGTCCGTATTATGTGGCCTTAAACAGATCATAACCCAGCACACTAGAGTCTGCACGACTACACTGAGTAAATCTTCTACCTGTTTCAGACCAGTGCTCAAAGGCAGTTTCAGCATCAGTTGGTTGTAGTGACCATAGCATTATAGGGGTCACAAGGAAAACAAAATTACCTAAAGGTGGCAGAAGAGTAATCCACAGAAGATAATTTAAATATTTCAATCAGGAGCAGTATATCAGTGACATTAGAGCTGCTGACTGTTCAGGAGTGTGCACTGATGTTAACCCAGACTTAGCTCTAAACGGATTTATGGAAATATTAATGAACATTGTTGATAAACATGCCCCGTTGATGAAAAGTACAGTTAGGAAGTGCACCATGGTTGGATGATGAATTGAAGGAATTGATGCGTATTAGGGATAGTGCTAAGACAAAAGCAGATAGTTCACGTGAATCAGGAGATAAAGAACACTACAAAGGTTTAAGAAATAATGTAGTTAAGGCAAAGAAAAAAAGAAAAAAGAATACTTTCAAAACAAGATTAAGGAAGCAAAAAACTATAGTAATAGGTTATGGAGCGCTTTAAATGAAATTATGGGTAGAAGCCAACATTCAGTTAAATCATATGTAGAACATAATGGGCTTTTTATTACCAAACCACAAAAAATTGCAAATTATTTTAATAATTATTTTACCAGCAAAGTTGAGAATTTAAGAGCTACTATGACTCCTGCTGATAGTGGGTCTGAGTTATATAATGTAATCTTAAACAAAATTATGAACAAAAAGAATTGTTCTTTTACATTCTATCAAGTGGATACAGTTTTTGTTAAAAAATATTCTAAAATCTCCAGACAGAAAATCATCAGGAATTGATTATTTAGATTCAAGATTGATCAGATTACCATCTAAAACTTTGTCCCGTCCAATTTCTCATGTATTCAACCAGAGCTTTACACACTCCACATTTCCAGGTAAATGGAAGGAGTCCAAAATTACACCATTACCTAAAAATAAAAAAGCTGCTTTTACAGGACCAAATTGTCAAATTGTGTACAGTATTCCAACAGATGCAAAAAATATTTCACCACCAATGGGCTCATTACTAAGAATCAGCATGCGTTTAGAGAGGGTTATTCCACATGCACTGCTTTTACTCACATGACAGACAAATGGCTGGAAGAAATAGACTCCAACAGGTTAGCAGGGGCAGTAATGTTAGATTTCAGTGCTGCTTTCCATCTGATTGTCCATGCAATATTGTTGAAAAAACTAGAATGCTATGGATTTTCTCCCTCTGCTCTGTCATGGATGGGCAGCTACCTCTCAGAGGATTTTTTAAAGGTGAACACTCGGCCAGTAAAACACTTCATTGCGGATTACCGCAAGGAAGCTGCTTTTCTCCACTCTTCAACTCTATTTTTACAAATGATCTGCCCTGCATACTGGAGAATGTAACTATAGTTATGTATGCAGATGACTCCACATTGTATTGTGCAGCACAAACATCTGACCGTGTGTCAAACTTACTTAATTATGATTTAGAGAAAGTGAGCAGGTGGGTCAAAGAAAATAAATTGGAGTTAAATATAGAAAAAACATCTATCACTTTTGGAAGTAATCATAAATTAAAAAATGAAACCTCACTATGTTTGTTTATCAAATGGGTAAAGGCATTACGATGGTGAGGAAATGTGTTTCGCTCATACCCGCTGCTATTGCTAAACAGGTTGTACAGTCTCTGGTCCTGAGTTATCTGGAGTGTTGCCCGGTGATATGGTCATCTGCTTCACAGAGTGAGCTTCACCAGCTTCAGCTGGTACAAAACAGGGCGGCTAGAGTGGTCCTTCAGTGCTCACAGAGACTAATGTGGCTTCAATGCATAGACGACTTTCATGGTTAACAGTTACTTACAAACTTAAATTAAGACTTTTCCTATCTATATGGAATGATAGGTTTTCATAGTCATTTTCCTCATCGCTGGTTTCCTCCTCATCCTCTATGTCCTCCTCCACACATCCACAGCTTTCTGCTGCTTTCACACAGTTTGAACCAGGAGCAGCTTCCTCATGACCATGTTCATCACCACTAACAGGTTCTAC